GGGGCGCCCCACGTCTACCCCAGCCGCGTCCTCCGGGCGCTCCACCGTGCCGTCCGCCCCGACCACGGTTCGTTCGATCATCCGTGTGAGCAGCGTGTCCTGCCAATCGATCCTCGAAACCCTCTGCCAAATCGTTGATTCGTCGATCCATGTGGTCAAACTGCCGTCCGAACCCTGTCTGCATCTCAGCGAGTTGACGGCTGAGCAACTCAATAGTGGCCTCGACGTTATCGTTCTTCTTTGGCGGCATCGTGGAACGTACTGGACTCTGGATACCAACTGACGCAGCGAAAGATTAAACGAAGGAACAAAGAACTCAAGAACAGATAATTTTTATTCATCAACGATCAAATCCGAACATCTGCTCACTCCCTTAATAAATAGAGTTCCAAACACTAAAAACTCTTACTTAATTTCCTAAGAAAAGAAAATAATATCTTTTCTAAATCAACTAAATAAAATAGGCAACTAAATAAATATGATATGCTAAATAAATAAAAATAGGAAACTGAATAATAAGATCATGATCAATGGCGACGTCGGTCTCGTTTCTCCATAAAGGCAAGTGCGATCTCGTCGCCATCAGAATTGAATGCGTGAATCTATATTATTATGAAAAAAAATAGCCACTTAACACTGTTTACACTATATATTATATTATGTTTAATTAACTATGCGCAAATTTTGGATACACTAAGGAGAAATAGCCACTTAACCCTATTTAGTATTTACAATTTATTTATGCTCCCAACCATTTATTTATCTTTGTACAGAAAAAAAAAAGAAGCTCCTCATATCAAACAACACGTATAATAACGCCATAAAAAATGTTTTGTTAACATCAATTTTAGTGAAGAAAAAAAAAAGGGCCCATTTTCTATAAAAAAAACTAAACAACTTGTCTCTAAAAATTCTATCCACAATTTGTAGTGGAATCAAAGAACTTATTGCACCGTCTAACGTAAGCACGTTTTATAAATAACTCCAAATAAAACGCTACTAATTATTAAATCGAATGAGCACACAGGTGATGTGTATGCAATCCTCATTATTGCACAAAAAATAGCATAGTTAATGTAATTATTAATATTCTAATATAGGAAAAATTGGAAAAAAATGGGAAAAAAAAAAAATTGGAAGATGATTCAAGAAGGTGCTAGCTGTGTAATTATCCTTTTTACTATAAAGATAACTTGAGAAATCACCAAGCCAAACTTGAACACATACAATATTTTGCTTGAGCTATTCGAAACAAAATAATAAGTTTCTAACCAAAATAGCATTCCTTGTTTTGCTAGTTTTGATTATTATGGGCCCTCAACTAGAGAATCGACAGTTTAATATAGGCGAATTTACACATACTAGTATTCGACCCTGTGTACTTGCACAAATATAAATAAAGTATTGTGAGTGATTTGTATGCATATAATGATTAATTATTTCTCTTTCACCTTTTTGCTGTCCAAATTTACAACTAAAGGAGTTGGAATATTTTTTTTTAAAAAAAATTGCATTTATCTAATTGGATGTAATGTATATTTTGGTACATCTTTTTTTTGTGAATTAGTTATTATTTATTTAAGAATTTTAAATACGTTTTTTATTTTAAAAAAATTAATTTAATGTAACCACAATAATAACATCTCATCACAGTATACGGTCAACACATTATATGGTCAACTGTCAGTAATCAAAAGTTTAAAATGATTTTTGTAATTTTAAAGTGATTAGTGTTGATTAATTAAAAATTAAATGAAAGATTAAATTCATCAAAAGTAACGGTTTTTGGAGGGAAAATGGTTAAATTGCCACATAGATAAAATTAAATAGGTTTTATTAAATGATATTAGCTAGTAATTATATATATAAATTCTACAAGATTTGTAAAATATTGCATTCTTACGTATCAGTCAGTTTTAATTGCATTCATACCCAATATTATGTCATTTAATTTTATGTCTACCTAAGCCTAGTTTCCGAAAAATAAAAAAAAAAACTCTCCTTAAATTCCGCTCCGTAATTGTAATTATTATCTACTTAATGTCTGTTTCCAAAAATAAAAACGGCTCTCCTTAAATTTTAGTTTACAGTCCCTTCGTCACCCATCAATCTCCATTACTTGACTTTCGGTCAGATGAGGCTGCCAAGACACCATGCATCCGACCGCGTATACATGACAAGGCTCGCTTTTCATGGTATTATGACGTACCGAGTTTTAATTATTTTGCTAATAAGTATAGCTAAAGTGTAAATATATAATAAAAAGTATCTTGTGTATTGGACTAGGTAATTTTCTTTAAATATATGCTACTGAGAAAAGAAAAGAAAAGAAAAAATAAAAACTCAGACCATGTTCAATCCTTCACTACTCTAGTGTAGAGTTACTATACTTTAAAGTAGAAAATGTCAAAATTTAATTTTTGTCTCCAATTGTTCGCTATATTTTACTCTATATGAAATATATTAGTAATAAAGTAAAATTTAACTACAACTATGAAATCAAATTTGAAATTATTTACCAAAATAAATAATTTGATTGATGTATATTTTATCAAAATAATA